AATGCGTTGTTTCTGAGGGAATTCCGAGGGGGGATTTGGAAAAATTGACACAGGGAGGTATTCAACTTGGAGTGGTTCGAGTTATCAAGGTTCATCTGTAATTTTAAAATCTGCAAGGTCTGTATCATTCTTGAAAAATGGAACATTCCTTGTGCATGGAAGAAGTCTGCTGAGTTTTTGAAAATCGAGCTGATGTTATTCCGTCTGAATATATTTTTCACTTCAGAATGTTGGCTGACTGAGGTTACGCATGTTTCTTCGATTGTCACCTTTTTTATATTTTTAATGAGTCGTGAGCCTAACAACAAGGCTGATTCGAAAATAATAAGTTAATCGAATGAACGTTCACTATGTATCTGAAGGACAGATTTAGCGCGGGAACATAACTTTTGAGTGCCGCGGGATCCTTCGTAATTTAAAATTCCGTGTAACGTCTGGAAAAACTTTGACGACCTAGATTTATTGATTTGCATTTATTGTGAAATGGTTTGATGGCTATATTCTTTCTCGAGAATTTTCACTAGATTTCAGTCCCACAAACCGTTTGTGCTGGAGTTGCGGAAATTGAATTACGAAATGTATGTCTAATAAAGTGAAGTCATCGGGATTCGGGAAAGCGAGGGAGATCTTGGGATCATCTGAGTAATTGCAATTTGCAAGTACTCGGCGCCTGTGAGACGAAAATAAATGTTATCACCCATTTCCGAACTGGCGGGCGCTTGGGAAATGGGAGGAAATGTGTGGCATCCTAGGAAAAATAATTCATTTTATTAAATGTTGCGATTGTTGGTAAATAAACACAGTATGTGTCCCAAAAAAATCCAAAAATGTACTAATTTTTTCCGAGAAGCACCAATTAGTGTACCATACTAATCTCCGTTGAAAAGATTGCATGATTTCCTTTTCATACGTGACACGAATTCACGGATAATGTTTGTCTAAAGTATCCAAAAAAATCAGAGTTTTTATCTTTTTTATGGGTGCAATATACGGTACATGCCTTTTCCCCCTGTTTTCTTGCCAATTTTTAAAAGCTAGGAAAACCTGCGTTAGGTGCCCAAAGAACAAGTGAAACACGTCGGAACTGCAGGACGTGTGAACGTTGCCTCGGGTTTAATTTTCAAATACAGTACTGTACAACATAATCTTTTTATTACGAATTTATGCTTGCGAAGAATTCGTAATTTTGGTCTCTGCGCCCAATAGC